ACCTCCAGGAGGTTGGTCTTCTACCTCCCAACACCTCCAGGAAGCAGGTCCCCTCTACGAGACGAAGCAACCCCACCTAACATATCATAGACACAATCAGAGAACACTGTATAAACATCAGAGGTCCGCGGTTGTTCAACGTCCTCCCAGCGAGCATAAGAAATATTGCCGGAACAACCGTGGACAGCTTCAAGAGGAAACTAGATTGTTTCCTCCAAGAGTGCCGGATCAACCGGGCTGTGGTGGGTATGTGGGCCTGCTGCGGGCCGCTCCAAGCAACAGCCTGGTGGACCAAGATCTTGGGGAGCAGAACAACTTAACAGAACCCGGTCCGAATACAGTACATGCACGAGTTTCGACTGATTACCAAAAGGGAAATTTTTGTTAATTATTTGTAAATATGTTTATAAATTGCCATATATGATTGATCTTAAAATACGTGTGTGTCTGCATGTATGTTTATATGTATATATGCAGGTTGTGTACGTTAGTATGTATATGCAGGTCACGTATATCGGTATGTATATACAGGCCATGTATGCATATTAGTATGTCATTTAAAACCTTAAGATTTCCAGATATTTCATCACCGAGAAACGGGTCTTAGAAAGATCAGAGCTCTTTTTCGCGGCAAGGAATTACTGCCACAGAGAGATGCCTTGTTGACAAGCAAGTGCCCATCTTGTTGAAATGAGATCCCTGTAGCTGCAGGGATCTCACAGCTGCTGCAGTGAGATCCCTGCAGCAGCTGCAGGCTTTGTTGACGTCTGATAAACACGATCACATTGAACTTGTCCCAAATCATGCCGTTGGGCGAAGGACCAGATGTATTGTGTGTCCGCTGAGCAGCCAGCGGGAGGTGCTATAACCCAGGATGTGGCGAGAGGCGGGAAAACAGAACAAAATGTCCGTAACGAGGACAGTAACAAAGGACATAAGCGGCCGCGTTCAACAGGTTATCTCTCCCCCTCTTCCACCTCCCGTTACCTCCCAAGATGCCTTCAGCTCAATTTTTTCAAACATGGCGTCGCGCCTCACAGCTGATTCCGCTTCCTCCTGGTGATCGCTTCCTTCTGGTGATCGCTTCCTCCTGGTGATCGCTTCCTCCTGGTGATCGATACCTCCTGGTGATCGCTTCCTCCTGGTGATCGATACCTCCTGGTGATCGCTTCCTCCTGGTGATCGCTCCCTCCTGGTGATCTATTGCCTTCTTTGCCGGTGTTTAAGGAGTGTTGGGGCTCCGTCTCTAGGGATCGGCGGGTAGTGGACGAGTGAGCGATGGGCTCTGCTGGAATAAGCGAACCGTGTCCCCCAGTTGGCGAAATTCGGTAAAGAGGGAGAGGCAGGAATACAGAGGCTCCAGGTATGGTCCAGTAGGCTGTTTGTGGAGGCTGGTTACTGGGGCACTGTGGCGTCTTGATGTGTGTGTGTGTTCGTGCGCGCGCGCGTGTGTCAGGGGCGCGCGCCCACTGTCCTTTGTTGAGGTCCTAAGATACCGGGTTCGATCCCCGGCCATGGCGGAAACAAATGGTCAGAGTTTCTGTCACCCTGATGGCGCTGTTCACCTAGCAGTAAATTAGTAGGTACCGGGGAGTTAGACAGCTGTTACGGGCTGCTTCCTGTGTGTGTACTCACCTAATTGTGCTTGCGGGGGTTGAGCTCTGGCTCTTTGGTCCTGCCTCTCAACCGTCAATCAACAGGGTGTGTGTGTGTGTGTGTGTGTGTGTGTGTGTGTGTGTGTGTGTGTATAAATCTGATGATTGACAGTTGAGAGACAGGCCGAAAGAGGAATTTTCCCCCTAGCCCCCCCCCCCTTTGACCCGCCCGCCATGTGGGTCGTAATATCAGCAAGTCACGATTTTGAACTCGGTAATCGGTAATTAAGGCTCTTTCTCTAATTGACCAATGGGGCCAATTTTCCACTTAACTGGGTATCGTCGCGGCCTATTGCATTTCCTCCCTATTTGAAATATTTTGATTTCTTTTGTTATATCTGTCATCACATTCTTGCAATTCTCGGTTAATCGTAAATATTCATATATATATATATATATATATATATATATATATATATATATATATATATATATATATATATATATATATATATATATATATATATATATATCAAATGCCGTAACTCATCTCAGGTAAGTTAAAGGAATTTCCTTCTTTCTCGAACTCTTCTTCTTCTCTTTTCCTTTGCGCGAACTCGAGTTCGCGAATTACTTAACGTCACTCAAGCAAGATCATTATGTAGTGTTAATTACTGGTGCTAGGCTGGGGGGTAGTGAGGGGGGGGGGAAGAGATACCTCGGGTGTAAACTCAGTGGCCACTGATCAGCTGTTGCAGGTGTAAACTAAACAGCTGTGGCAGAGGTAAACAATATTGAGCAACAGGCCACTGGTCGTATTCGGCTTGTCAACAATCCCGCGGATCCATAATTACTGTACTTAACGCTGCCAACTTGAAGGCTTGTAATCGCCAGAGAAATTATCAGTCCAAAAATAACCCAAGTCTAGTCATGGCTGCGAAGCTATAGCGTCCACGTGGAATGGTCTCTTTTTAGACCTTATGTTAGGGTAAGTTAAGCCTTATTATCCCCTCTTGCTGTTGTTTACTTTTAAAGAAGTGAATCTCTACTGTTTACGGGAGGGAGGAGTGACTAGTGACTGGTATTTGGACGCAAATATTTGATAATTTCCGGAAGGGAAGGTTCTTACCGGTGGTTTGGGTAATTTAGGTTCGTTTCTGGTCAGGAAGGGGATTAGTTCTCCTTCCAGTGGGGATGGTTGATGGTTAAATTTTGCCCCGAGGGGCGAGTTTATTGGGCAGCGCCACTCATCTTGTGAGTGGACACACCGCTATAGTGACAGTATTGGGCAGCGCCACTCATCTTGTGAGTGGACACACCGCCATAGTGACAGTATTGGGCAGCGCCACTCATCTTGTGAGTGGACACACCGCCATAGTGACAGTATTGGGCAGCGCCACTCATCTTGTGAGTGGACACACCGCCATAGTGACAGTATTGGGCAGCGCCACTCATCTTGTGAGTGGACATACCGCCGTAGTGACAGTATTGGACAGCGCCACTCGTCTTGTGAGTGGACATACCGCCATAGTGACAGTATTGGGCAGCGCCACTCATCTTGTGAGTGGACATACCGCCATAGTGACAGTATTGGGCAGCGCCACTCATCTTGTGAGTGGACACACCGCCATAGTGACAGTATTGGGCAGCGCCACTCATCTTGTGAGTGGACATACCGCCGTAGTGACAGTATTGGACAGCGCCACTCGTCTTGTGAGTGGACGTACCGCCATAGCAGCATGTACAACACTCCCCAAAAGGAAGAAAACCCGCTGGGTTGTTCATCCTGTATGGTTGATGGTAATGGTCCAAGGTGTGGTTGTGGCGGTGCTGTGTGTGTGGTCCTCTTAGCTGATACTTTGTGCGGCCGAGCTTCAGCTCGTGTGCTCCGCCTCTCCAGCCATCGGTTGTCTAATGCAATGAACTCACCCGTCTCCCCCCCCCCACCACAACCATCGTCCAACATCTTTATGTAATGTCTATTTACTCTTGAAACTTTTGGATGGAGGCAGTCTCTATTAGCAGTTTCCATTACTGTCATTATACTTTAAGAAGTGTAACGTCTCTGTTGCTACAACCTGTCTTCCTTCAAAAGAACGTCGCATTTCGATCGTATGCGTTACATAAGGCAAAAAATTGTCGTACTTGAAAATGGAAGCGGGTGGCGAAAGTGACGTACTGTTCCGTTTTCTGTTTTGGGGCCTCTGGTAGGTTAGGAGACGGCACTTTAAATTACCGTTTTCTTGCAATCCGTCCTCTTAAAAAATACCGTCACTTTTCGCTCGTATGCGCTTTATGGCCAAAAATGGACGTAATTTGAAATGAAATTTGCTCACAATAGCGATGTACTGTCCCGAGTCGTCTGGCTTACTCGGTTAAGTTAGGAGAGGAAACTTTCAATTAACGTTTTTCATGACGTTTTGAAACTTTTAAGAGAATTTCCTGCCCTCCTCACCCACCAGAGACCCTTAACCTGCTGTTTTGGAAAAAAAAATCAAATTTTTTAAATTTTTTTAATTTTCAAATTACGTCCATTTTCGGCTATACTGGTAAATGGCCAAATTCAGACGTAATTTGTAAGAGGAGATATTGTTTCTTGACGTTGTGTAACCTTAGGAGGACGGGCTGGTGGCTCATGTTCTTGTCTACCTCCCATGCCTGGCCTCACGTTGCCAACACAACATTCTCTCTCTCATGCAACCATATTACATTAAGGGGTCACATTATGAGAAGTTGTTTGGAACATGGCGGCGTATCGTGGTCCATTCACTGTGGAAGATCCTGTCGCTCACAGTTACTCAACCACTGACACAATCACAGAAGCCCCTGAAAGAAATGCAGATGTTGTATACACAGACTTTGCAAGGACATTGGACAAGTGTGACCATGGAGTGATAGCCCATAAAATGAGATCAATGGGAATAACGGGTAAAGTGGGGCGGTGGACTTTCAACTTTCTGTCAAACACAATGCAGAGAGTGACGGTCAATCAAGTAAGATCAAGTCGAAGTGCAGTGAAAAGCTCTGTACCCCAGGGTACAGTCCTTGCACCACTGCCATTTCTCATTCTTATCTCGAATATAGACAAAAATACTAGTCATAGCTTCGTGTCATCCTTTTGCCAATGATACAAAAGTCAGCATGCAAATTTCCTCCTGCTGTTAGGTAGTTTTCTACCTAATTTAGTTCTCTGTCAGTTACTCCAACATGGTTGTTTAAAGAGGGCCTCTTAAATGGACCAGTGTGAGAGGCTCTCAAACAGTCCTATAGTTTATAGTCTAATCAACCTCCCATTTTCTAATATAATTCTATCAGGGAACTCCAATAGTTTTGTTCGGCATGTCTTTCGTTCTCTAAAGCCTTTTGTTGGCGTTTATTTCTGAAGGGAAGTATATGTGGCGTTACCTGTAGATGGTTTCGAGAGATCGCCTGCTCCCGCGCCGTGTCGTGTGGCCAGCCATCCGTGGCCATTGTCTGCATCTGTTGAGGCCAGACCAGACAATCTGATGATTGTGTTGGTCTTCGTAGACCGCAGACCAACACGGACATCACAGCCTGGCTGATCCGGTAACTCCACCAGACACGTGTTAACCGCCCCCTCCCCACCTTGAAAGCTTGCACGGACACAGCCAGGATACATAGTGACGTGGGATACAGGGCGATACATAGCGAGTGAGACGGCATTGGCCTTGAATTTTGCGGTAGAGTACACTCGCCGGATATCTCAGTCACTTTTATACTCTGATGGTTCTCTGTCTGTGTTCATCTCCCCTGCCTGGCTGTCTGGCTGCCTGCCTGCCTGCCTGCCTGCCTGCCTGCCTGTCTGCCTGCCTGCCTGCCTGTCTGCCTGTCTGCCTGCCTGCCTGCCTGCCTGCCTGCCTGCCTGCCTCCTGCCTGCCTGCCTGCCTGCCTGCCTGCCTGCCTGCCTGCCTGCCTGCCTGCCTCCTGCCTGCCTGCCTGCCTGCCTGCCTGCCTGACTGACTGCCTGACTGACTGCCTGCCTGTCTGCCTGCCTGTCTGCCTGTCTGCCTGCCTGCCTGTCTGCCTGCCTGCCTGCCTGCCTGCCTGACTGACTGCCTGCCTGCCTGCCTGCCTGCCTGCCTGCCTGCCTGCCTGCCTGACTGACTGCCTGCCTGCCTGCCTGCCTGACTGCCTGCCTGCCTGCCTGCCTGCCTGCCTGACTGACTGCCTGCCTGCCTGCCTGACTGCCTGCCTGCCTGCCTGCCTGCCTGCCTGCCTGCCTGCCTGCCTCCTGCCTGTCTCAGTTTACCTGACCAAGTATACCTGTCCTTGCGGAGGCTTGGTGAGCAGAAGAACTCTCAGACCCCCCATCAAGGAGGTATACCTGTATTGTGAGGTGATGTTGGTGTCCTGTTCTCCACACCTGGTGAGGGGAACCCTCCTCATTTTCCACTACGGAATGACACAAACAATGTCACCAGGACAAGCGAGTGTGTAATTATGGATCGTTTATATGTAACTGCTGGGGCGTTATCCAAGTATCCCGGGGGGGGGAGGGGGAGGGGGAGGGGGAGGGGGAGGGGAGAGGGAGAGAGTGAGAGAGAGAGAGAGAGAGAGAGAGAGAGAGAGAGAGAGAGAGAGAGAGAGAGAGAGAGAGAGAGGAGAGAGAGCAAGAGAGCGAGGTTCAGGTTCTTCAAAGGATTCTTCCCGTTCAGCTTCGCATTCTTCAGTCCTCGTAGCTACGTCCTGTCAGCCAAGTCCCGCTGACAGCGTCCTCGTAACTACGTCCTGTCGGCCAAGTCCTGCTGACAGCCACAAGACTTATAAAAAATGGGATCATGGAGTAGAGCTATTAGTAGGTGGGGGTGTGGGGGTGGGGATGGGGTGGGGGTGTGGAGGGGGGGTGAAAGTGGGCGTGGTCGGCAGAGTTCTGTATCAGGAGATTCACTTAAGTTGAAACCAGCAATGGTATGTGTACTCACCTAGTTGTGCTGAGAGAGAGAGAGAGAGAGAGAGAGAGAGAGAGAGAGAGAGAGAGAGAGAGAGAGAGAGAGACAGACAGACAGACAGACAGACAGACAGACAGACAGACAGACAGACAGACAGACAGACAGACAGACAGACAGAGTCAGTCTCAGGTATTTCAACGTTGTGTTTAAATAAATTTGTCTTCGTCACTACAATAGTCATTAATTAGGGAATCATTGAATAAACGACAAAAAAGAGAGGATCATTTCTCTGTCAGTCTGGGTGTGGCGTGGCGTAACTGTTTGGGTCGCCGTGTTATTAACTACCCATTAGAGGGATAATCACTCACAGTTCAGCGCCCATTAATCTTGATTTGACCGCTAATTGCCGTTCCTTAACGACCCAGGTTAATTGGAGCTGTTTGGTATCGAGGTTATTGTTTTTTTGCTTGGTTTTATGTGTCATGCCTTCTCTTGTGTGTGGTGTACCATACTTCATGTGTGGTACACCCAGGGAGCCGGTCGGCCGAGCGGACAGCACGCTGGACTTGTGATCCTGTGGTCCCGGGGTCGATCCCGGGCGCCGGTGAGAAACAATGGGCAGAGTTTCTTTCACCCTATGCCCCTGTTACCTAGCAGTAAAATAGGTACCTGGGTGTTAGTCAGCTGTCACGGGCTGCTTCCTAGGGGTGGAGGCCTGATCGAGGACCGGGCCGCGGGGACACTAAAAGCCCCGAAATCATCTCAAGATAACTAAGATAACCACCCACTTACCTGGCAAGGTTCAATTTGCGATAACTTGGTCCAACAGGCTGTTGCTTGGAGCGGCCCGCAGGCCCACATATCAACTACAGCCCGGTTGATCCAGTACTTCTTGTAAGAACTTATCTAAGTTCCTCTTGAAGACATCCACCTTTGTTTCACTAATATTTCTAATACTTGCTGGGAGGGTGTTGAACAGCTGTAGACCTCTGATGTTCAGTGCTCTCTGATTGTGCCTATGGCACCTCTATTCTTCACTGGTTCTATTCTACATTTCCTTCCGTATCTTTCTCTCCAGTATGTTGTTATTCTACTGTGCAATTTTGGGACCTGGCCTTCAAGTATCTTCCATGTATAGATTATTTGATACCTCTCGTCTACTTTCCAAAGAGTACATTTTGAGAGCTTTGAGACGATCTCAATAATTTATATGTTTTATCGTTTCTATGCGTGCCGTATATGTTCTCTGTATTCCCTCTAATTCAGAGATCTCTCCCGCTCTGAAAGGAGAAGTGAGTACCGAGCAATACTCAAGACGGGACAGCGCCAGTGATTTAAACAGTATTAGCATTGTTGTGGGGCCTCTGAATGTGAACGTTCTCATAATCCATCCTATCATTGTCCTGGCCGCCGCCGCTATATTTGCTCGGTTATGCTCACTTAATGTCAGGTTGTCAGACCTCATAATTCCCAGATCTTTTACATGTTGTTTTCCTTCTATGATTGTGTCCTGTACCTTGTGTTTCGTTTAACTTCCTCGTTTACACCCTTCCTTGGTGAACTTTCCACCAAGTACTTGGAACTTGACGCCGTTAAACATGTTATTTGCCGTTGCCCAATCGAAGATTTTATTTATATCTATCTGTAGTTTTTCAATGTCATCTACAGAGGAAATTTTCATGCTGATTTTTGTATCATCTGCAAAATGAAGCTGTGACCAGTATTTTTGTCTATATCCGAGATAAGAATGAGAAATAGCAGTGGTGCAAGGACTGTGCCCTGGGGTACAGAGCTTTTCACTGCGCTCGGACTCGATTTTACTTGTTTGACTGTTACTCTTTGTGTTTGATCTTCCTTGATTGACCGTCACTCTCTGCATTGCGTATGACAGAAAGTTGAAAATTCAACGCCCCACTTTACCCGTTATTCCTATTGAATTCATTTTATGGACCATCACTCCAGGTCACATTTGTCGAATGCCTTTGCAATGTCTGTGTATTCGACATCTGCATTTTGTTTTGTTTTTAAAAGCTTCTATTATTCTGTCATAGTAGTTGAGTACCACACTGGTACTTGTGTGGGAGTACCATACACTTCATGTGTAGTACTCCCACTCTATATGTGGTACATATTGCTTGTGCCAAATTAATGTTTTATGTGTCAATTCCCCCTCGTTGTATGTGGCATAAGCCCTCCTATTGTCCTGGCACTGCGTGTGGCAGTGCCTCTGATATAACAGAGGTGATCAGATATATGGTTGTTAGACTTCAACCTTGACTAATGCAAACTTACAGGAACGGAACTAGGGGATAGGAAATCCCTGGTCCCGAGACTTTCTTTACACAAGCTCTCTGAATCATAAAAATAACTAAATATCTAAGACCTAAGGAAATTAAATTCGTAAATTACCTACGTTAGACTAGTACTTCAATATGCAGCCCTTGGGTGGAGACCGAAGCCTAAGAAACAAATTGAAGATGTATACAATATCTAGGTTAGTCATGAGACATTTTTCAGAACTTAGCCTAAGGCTAATAGAAGAAAAAATAGTGGACATGATCACGTCATTGAAGATTCATAGTATAATTGGCAGAGTAGACAGATATATGTTGAGACTGGGCAACGGGTCACCGAAGGAGCAGGTTGGATGTCACTCAGATGAGCTACAGAGACACTCAGGAAGCATTTCCTTTGTGAGAGTAATGAGTAAGAGAAAGAAATTTGGCGAGGAAGCTGTCCAGACTCATATTCTCTCATTCTCTTCCTCACCCTGTCGGGAGCCGGTCGGCCGAGCGGACAGCACGCTGGACTTCTGATCCTGTGGTCCTGGGTTCGATCCCAGGCGCCGGCGAGAAACAATGGGCAAAGTTTCTTTCACCCTATGCTCCTGTTACCTATCAGTAAAATAGGTACCTGGGTAGTCAGCTGTCACGGGCTGCTTCCTGGGGGTGGAGGCCTGGTCGAGGACCGGGCCGCGGGGACACTAAAGCCCCGAAATCATCTCAAGATAACCACCTCCACACCTGCTCCATGTGGGCGGGGCACTAGCGCAGGGGTGGGCGGTGCACGAGTGAAGGAGGTGGGCGGGTGCTGGGGTGTACACAGGGGCCCACGACCACCTCACCTACCACAATAATAACAGTGCTGGAGGAGCAGACCGTCAAGAAGTTTCATTACCTATATGCCCGTGCCACCTCTTGGGTGGCTTCATCTTCATCTTCATCTTCGAATAGACAACCACGGGAGACATCTCCTGTCATGCAGGGTGCAGTCGCGCCTCCACAGATCTCCAGTATCATCTATTGATACTGGTGATGGCTCAAAAGGGCCACCACTTACGGGCTATTCATGCCCGTGCCACCTTTTGGGTGGCTTAATCTTTATCAATCAATCAGCAGACCGTCAACATAACCAGGCACGTCTGTGGATAATACCAAATAGCGGGGTTGTGTGTCCATCAAGATCCTGGCACAAGCGCGCCAAAATTGCCACACGTAATCACCGTCAAGAAATAGCCAAGCGAAGGACAGGTAAACGGACAGTTAGTGAACCACGAGCCTCGGGGCAGGGCGAGTAGAGAGAGAAGCAGTTGTCTCATAAACAGACGTTTAAACAGACAGGCGGCTGACGATGAGTCACAATAACGTGGCTGAAGTATGTTGGACTATATTGGGATTGTTGCACAATCGACTTGAGATTGGTCCAGGACGGACCGAAACGTCGTCGTCCC